CCCAACATGGGTGGAGAACGTTGTGATATAACGCGATTCTTTACTGAGCATAAGCTGATGGTAGCTTGCTTTTAAGTCAATTTTACTAAACACCTTTGCGCCATTTAGTTTCGCGACAATGTCATTTACGGTCGGTGAAGGGTGTCTTTCGCGCATTATTGCCTGGTTAGCCTGCCGCATGTCAACGCAAATTCGTACCTCCCCTTCCCGTTTGGGTTTCGGGACTACAACTATAGGAAAAACCCACGGAGTGGGACCATCCACTCTTTCAATTATATCATTACGTTCTAACTCTAACAATTCATTTTCAACCATTTTCCTCATGTGATATGGGATATGCCTGTGGCGCTGGGCTACTGGGGGTACACTCTCGTCAATGTGCAACTTGACTTCAAAATTCTTAAGTTGCCCAATCCCGTTAAACACATTTGGGTATTTCTCAACCACATCACTACTTTCTAATACCACATTAACATATTGTTTAACCGCTACCAGTTTTAAATTCTGGCTAGCCCTATTGCTTAACAAGCATCCACATTGGCCTTCTACAACATAGAATGTGTCTGTGAAAGTAATATTATCATTAGTTTTACACGAGATAGTATCAGTGAAAATTCCTTTTACCTTAAGGGTTGTTCCACCGTAGGCATGTACATTTTTTGTGTTAGTGTTTAACAACACACCACTGAATTTACTACTAAACGTACACTCATCAATAATGTTGCATGAAGCTGCAGTATCAGCAGTCATAACTAAACTAACGTTAGCATTTCTAAATACTATCTCAAACTTTGGACTAACAACATTATGAATAACTTTATCACTACTACTAATAATAATAATAATAATAATAATAATAATACACATTTTTAAAGCGCCTATTAAAGCAAACAAAACTGGCTTGTCACCGGCGCTGGAGGATGTTAGAAAGAAGTTTAACTATTTGAAGAGGAATGATTTAAGAGTAGATAAAAGACATATTTATCACTGCTAATGCTATCATTTCTATTGACATTAACAGCTTATTTCATGAGCTACCTGTCGGCAATACTTGGCAAAATGGTTCACTCTACCGCAGTCGTGACATTTCTTTCCAAATGCTGGACAGGACTTTGGGCCTCTTGGGTGTGGATATGACCTACCGCAGCCAAAGCATTTTTTCCTTCCATAAACAGAACCGCTCCTAGCACTGTTTCCATTTCCTTTATTATTAGGGCGAAAAGTTTTACTGTTCTGTCTTTTGGTACTTACAGCATGGACTCGATTTTCTGGATGAGACTGTGCTGGGCCTAAGCCTAAGTCCTTTTCCAAATCACTATTCTGGACCTGTGCTAGTTCATTTGACCTTCCAATTTGTAGAATTTCTGCTAGCGTAAGTCCGTCTTCCTTAAGGCCCTGTTTTCTCAACTTCGAGTCAGTAGTTGTTTGGATAATATGCGACTTCAGTTCTTGGTCAATACTTTGAAAGTTACATGTACCGGCCGCCTTCCTTAGTCGGGTATGGTAGGAATCTAGTTTCTCGTCTGACTTCTGCCCAAGACGTCTAAATACAGCCCTCTCATATTCAATATTAACTTTAGGCCTAAAATGATTCGACAGAGCCACTTTGGCATGTGCGTAAGTAGTTCCAGTATCAGGTAGACTGTCAAATATTTCAAAGCAACGCGGCCCTACAGCATGTAGGAGCAATGCACGTTTTTGCGCGTCCGACGACACGGACAGGGCTAAGATATAATTCTCGAAACGCTTAATCCACGCTTCCCATTTTGGACCTACAGACGTGTCCAAAGACTCAG